TGTCAATTGTTTTTTTTCAGTTTGACCACCATGAGCAAATTAGTTCATCTTCGAAGAAGGACATTTTTGATTCAAACTGGAGATTCACATATTCGACAAAGTGCGTCTTCTTAATCCTTTATAATTGTATCATCCTGAGGTCAGGAGTTGACAGAGCTGTTTATTTCTTCCACTCAAGTGTGTCTATAACAAACATTCTGATTACAAACTTGGACCTCAGGATTTGGCGTGTAACATAAAGATTACTATTAATCCATTAAAATGTGTTTTTCATTAACTATTCTATCCCTAAGCGAAGGATAACCGTTTATAGGCTAGACTCAAAGTAGTTTGGAATGACAAGTAAGGCACTCCGATAGTGGATGCTTTCTTCAAGTCTAACCGATGAGTACTGGTTTGCACCGCTACCGTAGTACAGAACAACTGACACGTATCATTAGTTCGGGATAGACGACAGAAGCACTGCATCTGTTCTATACGTTTGACAGGCAGTTAAGTAGGTAATTACTCAGAAGTATTTTTGTTTGTTCTTTTGTCGGCGAATCAGAGCTATTTAACAGGGTTGTCTCCTAAAGGAGCTGCCCTGCAACCCGTTAGGAATAGCTGTCGTTGAAAGTGAATAAATCAAATCCATTGACGAAGAACGAATTATAACAATCGATTGATCATGATTGCATTTTGAATGTTTTTGTCCTTTGCAGATTGTCATTGACGTACACAAATTCGCACTGGTCGGAGCGGCGGCCCAGCTTGGAGGCATCGTTCGAATGACCATTAGCCTATGTGCTATAATCGTTGAAGCGACCAGGAACATCAGTTTCGGCCTGCCGATAATGTTAACGCTGATGACCGCGAAATGGGTCGGCGACTACTTTAACGAGGTACGAACTTTCGAACTTTTTGCCTACTCTCGTTGTCTTGCTTTTCAGGGAATCTACAGTATGCATATTCAACTTGCTGAGGTTCCGATTTTGGACTGGGACCCCCCACAGCTCGCTTCGTGCATTCCTGCCATGTGAGTATTACCGGCATAATTTGCTTTTGGGAAGAATGGGGCTATCGGTGTAGTTAGTTTTGCTAATTTATTCCATTAATTTACGGGTTGCAAGTCGCTTACCACCAATATGACCAATACAGCTTCAGCGATGCCTTATAGACCTTGTTTTTTGTTTTTCATTTTTTTCAGATGTCTTTTTCAATTGTATTCATCTTCTTCCACGACATACCTTGTATGCTAATTTTTTGATGATTAATTTGTGGTTCAAAACTGTGGCATGGTGACAGTGCCTAAAAATTCGACTTTGAATTCCATAGGTACCGGGTTCGAATCCGCTCAACTAACCATCTTGGATTCGCGGATTCCCTAGAGCATGGAATCGATTCTATTCTTGTTTGCGCAAGCATTCGAGAAACTGGTAGTTAGTCGGTGGCGCACGAATAAGAGGGCCGTCATGATATTTTCTTTTGGTCATTTCAGCATGGACGATGTGTACTGCCTTGCTGTCCAGTGCGAGCGTCTCTTGTGGCTACACTTCGTCTTGACCCGCCGGATAGCTGTTTGTCCAGTGTAATGACCATCATACGGTGTAATTTCGAGATCTCTTTTTCTTTCAAAAACGAATTGCTGGGACAAGCGTTAGTCATCATGGCCATTTGTCTTCCATTGTGTGGCCTGACCGCAGCATTGGTCTCCGTTATTTGCTTTCTAGTGACTTCCTCCCTTTTACGCACCTTGTTGAGGCGGAACTCTTCATTGCTAAGTGCCAACCTTCGGTTCATGGCGCTATTGCTCCCTTATGTTTAAAGCAGACCATAGTTTTTGGCATCAGGGATGCCAGGATCTTTAAGAAACATGGTCGGTTAGGTGCATCGAGAAATGGAAGTGGTACTAGAAATCGGAGTTCGTCACATCTACGCGAACGCGGAACAAGAAGCCGACTGACTGACCATATGGAGCGACTGTCCCTTGACAAATCTGAGGTGATGCGAAGTTCGTATAATGGATAGCAGTCTTTATATAATACAGCGTTCATCCTGAGAGGTTATACGGCAATAATGAATCTGATTGATTTATTGACACCTTATTATAGTATGTATGAAATTACCTTAGTTATGTGCTAACACGTTTCTTTGTAGTCAGGTGATGTGCCCGTGTGTCACTGTTTTCCGGGAAATCGAAAACGTCGGCCGTATTTACCAAACGTTGTTGCAGGAGCGGCATCACGGCTACCCAGTCGTGGATAGCTTCGATCCCGACGACGAAATGGTCAGTAACGTTTTGCATTCCGTTTTTTTAGCACCGTTTATTTAGAGACCGGAAGGAACTTTCGGCCGACTCAAAGGACTGGTTCTCAGATATCAATTGATCACTTTACTGCAGAATAAGGTATATTGATTATGCATTCTCTAATACCTCCAGTTGTTATGGTTTTTTTGAGGGGATGATTTAAGACATGGCTGTCATGTTATTTCTGGTTTGCATTACTTTAGGAAAATGAGTGGAGTTGCGGGATGTGAAGCAAAGTAAGATAGATATATACTGGTGACCAGCCGAAGGGCATACAATGTGCCATGAGAAAACCGGTAAATTTTCGACCTGTCGTAGTAAATCATTACAACCAACTCAGCTTATTTCAGACTTTTGTATCAGAGTTTGATTTCGTTATGTCCTTGAAATCGCATGTTAAGCGGCGGTAGCTATTAAAAGTTATTCCGTGGGTAATAAAGTGATAGAAGGCATATCGCTGACAAATTTCTTAATGGCATACTACAGCTGATGTAGTTTCTTATTCGTTTTGCTTTAGATGAAGCTTCACGATAGGTATTCACGACTGACTGAGCGTTGATATCCCAGGTTATATCAAATCACAGAAGGATACCAAAATATTCAGTGGTTTGCAGTGAAGTGAACAACGATTTGTTTAACTTAGGTGCGATGTACGGAAAGAGCTGACTGTTTTTCGTTGTCTTTATTTCACATCACTCATAATAATCAGCGCTGGTTAATAAATAAGGGATTCGTTCGAAAGTAGAACCCGTTTGTCTGGGGTTGGTGAGGAAGCAGCAGAGAAAAGCAAATATTTTGCGACTCTGCCAGGACGTGAGAAGTGCGCTACAGTAAACTAAGTAAATACATTATGCCTTCATAAATCTGAAAAGTGAAAACATTTATTTCAACGTATTTAATATCTTAGTTGATTGATTATTTTCCGCAGATCTTCTGGTTCGACCCAATGGCTCAGAAGAGAGCGTTCGAGAAGGTAGTTTCTCTCGAAGACTTTCGAAACGCTTATCCTCGGTACAGAGTCGCTCTCGAGGTACTGTCAACCGTCAATTTTTTGAACGTTTTTTTTCGAATACAGTGTATATGAGCACATCTGATTTGTGAATGCGGTGATTATCTTTTGTTTAAGCACGTTTCATTATGTGAAATTGAAAAGTCTTACTGGATTGACATGCGATCGTTCATGAACCCATCGCCTTATCGTGTTTCTCAGGCTAGTATTGTTTCATTTCTTCACAGTCGCATGTCCAACGTCTGTTAATATTTAACTGTTTTAGCGTATATTATGATAGCATATATACATGTTTTACGTTTTTAAAAACTGATGTACAAATTTTAGCGCAAAATTCAATTCAACATGGCAGAAGTTCGTCATGGATTGCTGGTGCACGATAGTAATGTAATTATGCAGGCATTTCTATGCACAAAATCTCTAACGTTCCATGACGCATAGCTCTGTCATGACCTCATTTCACAACGTATTGCACCTCTCTTGCCATTTCCCTCCCGCACAGGGGAATTTAAGCAGGCTACAGTTCCATGGTCTTTGGACAGCGGCAGTGCCAGACGCAACTCGCCTCATTTTGTTCCCTCGAGCCACCTCGTAACTATAACAAACAATGTCTTATGAATGGATACCCCTTATATACTACCGCATAAATATCAAAATGTGTTAAATAACGAATTACTCGTCCTATAACCATTTTACGGCGCATTTTACTTTCCCCTTGCTCCTAGTTGCCCAGAAAGCTCTTTTAACAAGGCACGGCTCTATTGTATTTGAGAGCTTCCAGTGCCCCGCCCCCACTGCGGCGTGCAAACAACTTATGATGTTTATGCAAGTTCTACGATGATGAATCGCACAGCAGATTAGTCTAATTCTAGTTGAGTTTTTTATGATATACAGTAGTTTTGCTATCAACTAATATTGATGCTAGTCAGGTAAATCAAACATTAAGAGCTTCTTTTGTAGGATGCCAGTTTACGGTCGATGTATCAGTTGTACCGGGGCTTGGGATTACGGAATCTCATCGTTACCAACGAAAACAATCTGGTGCGTTATCGATGCATTTGTTCTTATGTACGTTGACTACTCGGTCTTTGACGATTTTCAGGTTGTCGGTATTGTCACCCGTAAAGATCTTGCCAGGTTTAAAACGCGACGCCGTTTCAATCGATATACGATCTACGAGCTTGACATATCGTGCAATGACTAGTCAATATTAAATATTAATTTCTTCTTCATAGTGCCGCCGTTTGTATCTAATAAATTTTGGTTCTCTTACGCTTTGATCAAGCGATAGATTCTAGAACGTTTTTGGTCACGTGACGACAAATTTTTTACGATTTACGAAAGCTTACTAATGTCTACCGACTTTCGTTTGTATTCAAGGTATTTTGCGACCGTTTCTTGGTACGGTAATGCAAGTCATAACTGGCCTTTCGGTTTTCCTACTTATTCAGGTAAGATGTTTAAAAAACTGCTTCATAGGGGGGTACGTACCTTAAATGTTACCTTAGATGAGTTCCATATTTGTAATCTAGGAGTTGAATCGCTTAGCGAATGCTTTCACTCCATTAAATCGCCTTTTGATGTTTATTGTATAGATATTTCTATTTTGCATAAAAGCTGTAGTTTCGTTTCATCCTCGAAAATCATTTTAATATTTTGCGCCCTCAAAGGAAAACTAGCTACATTTTATAATATCGAATATTTCGATTGATTATTTTTCTGATATGTGATTATGACACCGAACCAGACCGTTCTAGTTAACAATCGACGCATTTCGTTACCAAGACTAATGAGGTATATAAGACTGAAACGGAGGTCGATCAACATTTCTTGAAAAATGGTACGATGGGAGTATTTCTCCATAGTTTTGTCGATGAATAACCTGGAGAGCACGCTTCGGCGAGGTGAATATGTAGCTATGCGTGATCATATGCCACCGATTTATATCGGTTTATACCATGTTATGGTCGTCAGTACTCTAATTATCTAAAAACGCCCGTAAGAGACCAATCAAAACTTTTTATCACACTACATATGATCAAATCAACCATGTTTTGAATGAGCTGAAGCTTGTCTTATATAATCACAGCAACAGCTTATGTAAGGTTTTTTTTATATTTTTTTATGTATATATCACGATGAATGAAAAAGTCAAGGCATGTTCGGCTAATTAATGCAGTCGAAAGAGAAACAACGTGGCGTTGTCTATGAGATCTCTGTAGTATATCTTTCAAGAATTTTTTTGCGCTTTAATGGGTGCACACTTTCAGGGTGTGTCATCATTTTCGCCATCAGGGATCGACGGTGGAGAAAATGTCTTCGATATTGCGATCGAGCAAAGGATCACGAGTTAGTCGATAACTGCTGTTCAAAAAATGTACTATCTGACTTGTATCTGGTGCAGATACGGCCAAATTCAAGCGTCGCGGCGTCATTCGAGTAGCCCACTCAAGGCTGACGGGCATTTCGGCCCAGTTCCTTTCCGAATATTTGACAGAAGAAGACCAAGCTGCTTTAATGGTTTATTTCTTCCTTGTGGTTTTTACAGCAAGCTTCTGAG